TATATACGAGACTCATACTCATACAAACCCTAACTTTGGCATCCTCGGAGACATGAGTGGGGGCCTTGCTAGTGCCCTGCCCTGATCTGTGTGTTGATGCATGAGACCGGTGCGTGGCGGGCTGTGAATGTGGTGCCTTGGTGGTTGCTTGGGAATGGGGGGCTGAATGCGCCTCCTCCTCATGATCACCGCTGTCGTGCGGTGGCTGGCCGGGGCGATACCGAGGGAGCTGGGCGCGGATGCGCTTGTTCTCGGCGCGTAGCGCCGCTAGGTCTGCTTCGTTAGCTGTGCGCATCGCCGCGAGATCATTCTCATGCTGGGCACGCATATTCTGGAGGTCGGCGTCGTGCTGTCGCCGCATCTGCTCGACTTGTTCGACCAAACGCCTCAGGGTCGCGGTATCGCTGTCCATGGTAGTTGAGTTGCTTGTGTTATCTGTTGCTCGTCTAATATGGCTTCTGGTAGAAACCATGCAGGTGGCCGATGAGAGCTTGGTCTGATCGGCCCCACGGTGGGCGCCAAATGTTCTTACCGGAATTTGGCCGTAGGGATGGTCTGCCCAGTAAGATCAGTGAGCCTCCTTTGCTTGATGTGTTGGTGCTCCAAGATGGGGGAGGTACCTGCAAAAGAGACTCCGATGCCAAAGTTAGGGTTTGTATGAGTATGAGTCTCGTATATATAATGCACATACCTTTGTGTGAATTAGGGTTGTCTTGGGCCTGAGATAAGATATGATATGATACGATATCATATAATATGATATGATCACGTTGTGACATAATATGGTATAATTGGAGAACGGTTTTGGCCTGCAACGAGATCTCCGGGCTCGGGCGTGATCTGTCTGGATTCCGGGCTGACGTTGTTCAACGCGTGCCCGGGATGACCCTTATAATGTCAACCCGGGCTGAGAGCCCGGGTGCGAAATGCGGTCAGTACACCATCATTTTAAACTCTTAAAAGTCAAATTAGTAATGATTTTAATTAGTTGAGTGATAATAAATATATTTATTTAGTTTAAATACGTTTTTAGTCTCTCAAATTTTAAATAAATTTATTTTTAGTTCTTTAAATATAAAATTGTTGTTTTTAGTCTCTGTAATTTTTAAAAATCTTGTTTTAGTCTCTCGTACTATCAATAATATATTTATAAGTAATAAGTTAAGACAGTTACGTAATGTCAATTAGATTTAATGTGATGTTTTCATTAAGAGAAACAATCATATTTGATAAATTTCTTAATAAAATTTGAATATAAAGATTAAAATAAGATTTTTTGAAATTATAAAAATTAAAAACAACAATTTTAAATTTAAAGGAACAAAATAAACTTAGGGGGTGTATTGGATTAGGATTTTAAAGGACTTTTTTAGTTAAAAAAAATTCTGTGGATTTTAAAAGACTTTGCAGGATTTTCATGACTTTTAAGATTTTGTAAGATTCTACAAGACTTAAATCAGGATTTTAATGGATTTTGTGGAGTTTTGACATTTAATAAGATTTAAAAAAAAATCACATTCAAATTTAAAAAGAGTCAAAGACAAAAATAATAAATAAAAAAATAATAATGTCTAGATAATAATAATAATAATAATTCTTCATAATATCCTATACTCTTTTTATAGTATCCACTATCAATTGTAACAATTCATCGGAATCTTCCTTGGTCCAAGCTTCATAGTTTTCTTTCTCTTTTCATTTTTCTTTATTATTTCCTTGTGAATCTCTCATTTGAATTACTAAAACAATATATGTTGAAAACTAGTTATATAAATAATTATGGATAAGAGACAAAATCAATAAAATTATATTATTATTTTTAGAAGCACACTAATTATACAAGACTAGGTATATCTTGACTATCCAAATAGATCAAATACCTCAGTCATTATAAAAAAAAAACATGTAAAAACGAAAATATAGAAACATGAGATAATTTTTTATATAAAAAAAATCAGTATATTCGATATGAGAAAATATTTAGATATATAATTTTTTTTATATAAAAGAAATTATTTAGATATAGAGAATATATATATATATATATTATTTTAGTTATATATTA